AGGCTTCCCGAGCACCTTCTGTAATTCCCCCCCAGCTTCCCAGCTCCTATTAGTTGTCCTGTAGTTTGCTTCAGCAGCTGGAGCCTTGCTCCAGCTTCCAGCACCTACTGCCTCTCCCTGCAACTTCTGTAGCTGCTCCAGAGCCATCCTCTGGCTCCCCACACCCAGAGCCCCTCTTTTAAGACCCACACTTTCCCTTAGTCCCATTTTCCCCTCTCCCTACGTACCTTTTCAGCTCCCCCATAGCTTTAGCTCCAGTCCCAGCCTCTGTGCTCGCATGCTTCCCTGTTCTGCAGGCTTTGGGCATTGTCTTTTAATCAATTAAGATCAATTAACCTAAATTTACCCCCAGCCTCAGTTCTTCAGCCCAGGCCTCTGCAGTCTACTGGTTCTAATCCTGGTCCTGGTAACTTTAACTCCTTACACTTCTACTTTCTTACCTTAACCTTTCCCCAGGTATCCCAAGTACACCAAACACATACATATATACACATCACAACACCCAACTTAGGAACTCACATGTGTGTATGTGTAGGTGGGTGGTATGTGTGTAAATTAGTGAATACACATATATATATATCTACACATATATAGATATCATTGTGTGTGTGTGGTATATGAATGAGTAATCCACATATGTGTATTGAATGTGCAGGTGTTGGTAACTGGTAACTAATTCTCTCTAAATTTGGCGTGTGTAGCATGTATGGACTTAAACTGGTGATAGGTGTGCATGAACCTAGACTGGTTATTTTGAATGTGTGTGTATCTGAGTTGCGAGTGTGAGTGTGTGTATGTGTGTATGCCATATATATATATATGGCACATGCATATATATATATATATATATATATATAAGCATATATATATGGCATTGAGTGCATGATGTATGAATTAGTGATCTGTGTCTAACTTTTGGGGTGTATAGTGTATGTGCTTGAATTGGTGGTAAGTAGGCATGTGCCTAGGCTGGTTTGGATGTGCATGTGCCTGAGCTGGTAGTGTGTGTGTGTATGCACGTAATTGATTTCTGTGTGTTTTGTATATGTGCAGTTGTGTCACACCCTCCTGTCTAACAGCACAATATTGAGATCCTGAGGGTTGGCCTGACCCCCCAGGGCAACAAAAGTAGCCTGACACCTTCCTGTATTTGGGAATAAGCTTGCTGGTGGTGCTGGCGCCATCACCAGCAGCCCTGTCTCGCTCCAAGGTGTCCCTGACTATGAGGAGGAACTTGTGTGCTACACAGAAGATTCCAGCAAAGTTGGCATCGCAGACCACCTTGGCCCCATTGTCGGTGAACATGAACCCACAGATGAGCTCATTTTGCCCAACGAGCCACCCCTGCACCAAGCAGTTCATGGCCCCCAAGATCTCTGTTGCCATGTTGGACTTATCCATCACCTGGGCTTGTAGGAGAGCCCACCAACAGCCTGATTGGTTGTATCAGTGCCCTGTGAGGAAGAGGAAGGCGTGATCTCCTCCCTGGCTGCTCCAGATGTCTGAGGTGAAGTGTAAGGCCACCTCTGGACCTGACTTGTGTAGCTCCTTCCTCAAGTACACCCTGCATGCCTCATACAGGGAGGGCACCATTGCCCTGCTGAAGGTGGTGCATGTGGACACTTGGTAGGATGAGGCCATGAGAGCTATGAGCTGCCTGAACCCTGGCTGCTCAACTAAGGAGAAGGGCTGGGCATCCACAGCAAGCATCTCCCCAGTGCTCTGGGTGATCTCGCTTGCCCTTGCAATGCGCCCTGCTTTCTGTCCACCTTTCCCCCACTGTTTCATGGTGAACTTCTCTTCTTTGGAGGGACAGGGGCTTTGGAGTGAGAGGGGGACTTCACTTTGGGCATGCTGCTGCTGGTGCCAGGCTGAGGAGAAGCAAGTACAAGGGGGTGGTTCCTTCAGAGATGCATCAGCATCCCCATGGATGCTGTGCTCATGTGTTTTGTTCTCTTGCCCCAGCTGGTTTTGGCTTGGCAGTCCAGGCAGATAGCATGTGTGGGATCATCTGCCAGCTCAAAATCATCCCAGACCACACTACCTACTCACTTCTGGGGTGGATGCTGCACTTCCCTCCTTCTCAGCAGGCAGAGGCACAACAACAGGAGGGGTGGACTCAGCTGAGCTGCTTGCCTCCACAACCTCTACCTCAACCTCCTCTGAAGTGCCTTCTGGGTAAGGATACCTGTCTCTAGGGGAAAGTTGAGGGGTGAAGAGCACAAACTCAGCTGATTTCCCTTACTTCCCCAGAATTTCCCTTGCTAGGGTACTCGGATCCAGATCCAGATCCAGCTCTTCCTCTGGCACTGGAAGGCTCAGGATGGGAAATGAAATGGGAGTGGAGGATACTGTCATGCTGGTGCTGGTGCTGCTGCTTGTTGTTATGGTGCTGGTGGGGGCAGGGGGTCATGACTGGTGCTCTTGGAGTGGGTGCATTCTCAGGCACAGGCAGTGGCACTGGCACTGCTCCCCTCTCCTTGCTGCTTGTGGAAACCTCATCTCTTACGGTTGGAGGAAAGTGGCTGCATCTCATTTGGGGGAGGAACTTATACTTCTCCCTCTACCCATGTGTTAACTTTGCCCCATAATTTGGGGTCATCTGCGAACTTGGACAGGGTGCTCTCCATACCCTCGTCTAAATCATTGATGAAGATATTAAATAGCACCAGACCAAGGACTGAACCTGCGGGATGCTACTGCCCACCTCCTTCCAGGCGGAAAATGACCCATCCACCACCACTCTCTGGGTGCGGTCCCTAAGCCAGTTGGCTACCCACCTGACTGTGTAAGCATTCCTATATAAATTCTCTAAGGTGTGTGGTCTTCTATGCCACAAGGTATAGATGTATAGAAATGAAATATGAATGTATCTCCCTCCCGATATAAATTCTATAATGTATGTATATGCTGCAAGGTATAAATATATAGAAATAAAATATATCTATATGGAAATAAAATATAAATGTATCTCCTGTCCTATATAAGTTAAATTATATAGTTTAATATCCAATAAAATTATAAAATCGAAAAGCGTAAATCAATTAATATAATAATAAAATAAAAGTGTCTTGAAGAAAGAAAAAGGTATTCTGGAATCCCACTTGCTAGGCTAGGCTAGCAAGTAGGAAATCATTCAGTTCAATGCTAGTAGTAGCCTTCTTTGTCTAACGCTCCTGAGCTGCTGGAAGATAGCACTGTCAGAACCCATGACAGAAAGTAGGCCAGTTCAAACAATGCTGCTTTTTATGCTGTTTTTCCACTCCACCCCCAGAGCACTGGGATTGGAAGGGACCTCAGGGAAGGATGACAGTCACTGCCCAGCTACACAGTCAATATGAAAACAGTCCTCCCGCCCTCTTCGCCCCTCCCCCCTCCCTCTCCTTACTATCTGTTTCCCTGCAGGCAAGCCCAGCTTGAGCTTTGAAACTCAAAATGTTTTGAAACTTTTGAAACATTTTGACTGCTCTATTTTCATTTTGAGGCTGTTTCAAAGCCTTCCATTTCATTTAGATTTTGCTCAAAACGAGTCAAAAGAGCATCAAAACAAAACAAGTGGAGAAATTTTGCACAGCCCTATTCCACTGCATTTCCTCCCCACATTTCTTTTCAATGTCTGTGTTGGTGGCTTAGCTTTAAGAGGCATGCCAGAGGAAAGAGGCAATGTCAAGCCCCTAGCACAACAGTGAAAGTACTGTGCTAAAAAGCAGACGCCTTGATTCAACACCCCTTGTGGTGGGGCCTAAATTCCAGTGTCTTCAATTAGCACCCAAGCTACTAAGTTGTGAGGACAAAAGAGATACCTACTGCTTTTTTCCCATTCTGAAACTAAGCACGATAGTGCCCTGAGTGTTACTGTGCATGCCCAGTCTTGTAAAGTACGTAGTAGCACACAATTATCCATGTGTGTATGGCTATACATATAGGAGAAGAATGCCAACCAATGTGTGAATGGCTTTTAGAGGACTTAGACAACCAAAATGTCTTATAGACAACTGAACATGGATGACTGGATGACCAAAAAAGAATAGATTACCACCCTTAAGAGTCTAAGCCTCCCTCTGCTCTGACAGTACTGAGGAAAGAAGTAAAACACGAACATAATGCAGTTTGTGAAGGGTATGGGGAAAATGACAGATAATGATTTAGTGATTCTGGTCCCACAGGCACTCCACCTCTCAGCATCCAGGAGTTTCCTCCATCTAGAAGATGGAGAACCCATTCTGTTTCCAGGCAGGAAGATTCATGGGTTAAAATACATTTGTCACCCTTGGCCCACAAATACTGCACCATGGTTGAAAGAACTGGTCACTCACCAGAGCAGTTCACAGCAGCATCTTCCTTGTGGTAGCATTTACTGTCTCCCCAGGGCTTAGCACAACAGTCCCACAGAGACGACTCTGTTCCCTTGCAATTCACCTTTTCCAGCCAGACGGGGCCAGTTCCCTCCCCAAATGCAGCCTTTCCCAGGGCAGATACAGCAACTCCACAGCCCAGTTGTTTGCACACAACATCAGCATCTGCCATGTCCCAGGAATCATCACACACTGTTCCCCAGGATCCGTGATGCCAAACCTCCACTCTCCCCGAGCATCTGTCCTTTCCTTCCACAACACGGAGCTTCTCCTTGTCTGGGAAAAACAGAAACTTCACATGTTACTGAGGCAGCTGAGAAAGCACTTGAGGGTAAAAGAAGGAGACCAAGACAAGAACAGAAGTACCTGTGCAGCTTGTGGAGTTTGGGCATTTGTTTAGCAAGGTCTGAGTGGAGTTCACTTTTCTTCCTACAAAAACAAAAGTGTGGCTAGTGGACAATCCATCTTAGTAACAACTAAAGAAACAAGTAGTTTTTTGTTTTGTTTTGTTTTATTTTATTTTAAACCCTGAGGGATTTCTACTTAGTTTTTGCTGCAGATGATGCAACCATCTTGCAATTCTCTCTTCATTATGGTTGCCTGGTTGTATCTCACCCTTACTTTCTTTCCCTCTCTCCCCTACAACTGGGATTGGATATAAATCTTTTTCTTAGCCAAAGTTCTGGGAATCCAGAGACACCAAATATTAATGCTGGTTCCAAAATTGGATCCGAAAAACAAACACACACACACACACAAATACACTTAGTGTGCTCATGTTTTCATAAACAAATGCTTACACACCCAAGTGAACATGGCCCCGACCACATATTTTAAGGATATCCAGTGTAGGTGCATGTTTGTGTACAGAATTACCTGAACATATAATATGGGTCTCTTCTGCTCGGTTATCACATGACTGTGGGTCCCAAGGGTCCGATGGGCACTGCCACAGGGAGCTGTGCTGGTTAAGGCAGACAACATGGTCCAACCATGTGGGGCCAGAACCCTCTCCATATGCAAAGTCTCTTGCAAAATCTCCTCTATTTCCACATCCCAGCTGCTTGCATACAAGATCTGCTGTGATGGCAGTCATGAGATTGGAGCAAACACTCCCCCAAGTCCCATTGTAGAAAACTTCCAGCCGCCCAGCACAGTCACCACCATTTACCAGCCTCAGATCCATGAAATCTAGAAGAAAATGCACAAGGTGAAATGAAACTGATACAAACCAGGGAGGGAAGACTGAAATCCTGAAAAGTGCTGACAGCACTGTGCAGTTTTCTATAGGAAAATATGCTAGGAAGAATCCCTCCAAGAATCAGAGACACAACCTTTTGCTTCAAAACCATTAGAAACACCAGGGTCCCCTCTGGAAAGTCACCAGTTAAAAACACCTATACACAGAGATACCAGAGATATGGCACTGACTACCCTTTGGTACTCTGAGGAAAAGATGGTGAGTCTTCCAGTGCTATGAGTGCAAAGTGGTGACATTATTATGACAAAGTACAAAAGTAGGTGACCTGGGTGGATTGGTGGGTAGAAGAGAGACAAAGATGGCCATTTCCAGCTCTCTCCCCTTCCCCACCCCCCATCAGTTTCCACCCTTAAATTTCCTGGGAAACAGGCTCCTGAGAACAGTCACAGAACAGACCTGAGCAGAGCACTCCTGCATCCTCCTTGTGTCTGCAGTCGTGCTGCCCCCAGCCCCTGGAAGGGCACTCCCAGAGCTTGGATTCATTTCCAGAGCAGTTCACATCATCCAGCCAGATCTGTCCCGAGCCTTCCCCGTAATGAGCGGAGGCAGCTGCCTCGATGGCGTGTCCACATTCCAGCTGTTGGCAAACCACGTTGGAGTCAGCCAGGTCCCAGGAATCATCACAGATGGTCCCCCAGGTGCCCTGGTAATAAATCTCCACTCTCCCAGCACAGCGACCTGCCCCATTCACCAGTCTGATTTGCCTGCTTCCTGTAGAGAGAAAGCCCAGCTGTGAATATGAGAGTAGCTTCTACAGGAGGGAATTTTGGGGACATTTCAGAAATACATCACCTGAGCAAACAACTCCGACATCCTCAGTGATTCCTGCCTGCACTGTCTCAGGAAGTGTGGTGTTGCAGAGTGTTAAATGAGTCTCATTTCCTGCACACTGGACTCTTCTCAGCCCCACAGGGCCTGTTCCTCGTTCAGATTTCCGTGGGTGATAGGCTTTTTCAGCAGCACCACATTGGAGCTGTCTGCACACCACGGTGGCATCATCCATGTTCCACTGATCATCCAGGACTCTGCCCCACACACCACTGAGGGAAATCTCGACTCGCCCATCACACTGGCTCTCTCCATTCAACAGACTGAGAAATTTAGTGTAATTTGAGCCTAGGAGAGATGGGAATGCACTGAATGACATTCAGTGTTTATACATTAGAAATACTATATGTGTTGTGCCTGAAGAGAAGTTAGTTAATATATAAGGGATAAAATAGTCATGAAGAGTATAATTAAAAACAGTAAACCCTATCAAACCTTACTTGGTTGATTGTTTCATTCCATATTGAAAAAGGAAATATCCTATATGGACTGTGAGGGTACTTACACACATGCGGGAAGCCTGCTCTGACGGGCTGGAAATCCAGCACGTTGGAGCAGATTCAATTAATTAAGTCTGCTGGATCACATATACATTGACATGCTCTGGCAGCCTCGTGCATCACGTGTGTCAGCTGCACAGCATGCCTCTGCACGGAGAAAATGGTGCAGTGTGCTTTGAACTAAAACATGTTTGATATGCCTTAGTTTAAAGCACCCTGCTGTCATTTTCTCAGTGCAGGGAGAAATTAGCACAGCTCACTGTTTAAAAGTGCCCAGTGCTACATCAGGACCATGTGTAAAAATGCCCTGAGATCCTGAGGCTTATGGGGGAGCTTGTTGCTACATCCTACCCATGAACAGGTAAGGACAGCTCTTTGCATTATTGTTTGAGGGAACACACACACACACACACACACACACACACACACACACCCCTGGTATAGTTAGTATAGTTATTGTGCTTCACAGTCTCCTCACTTAATTGAATGGGCTAAAAGCCTACAAACGAGTGAATGGTACTTGAGCAGGTCTCAGGGGTTGGATTGGGAGTTTAGTGGTCAAGAAGCTGTTGAAAATGAAAATTAAAACCCTTGGTTTTCAAAAAGAGGTGACTTTTGTGTATTTAATTAGTTCCCTCTTGTATGCCAGACACGTGATCACTTTTTTGGTCTAAGGTAGTTGTTAGCATACACATTTTAGAATGTGGTGCCAGCTCTATATCCAGCATATAACTGTGGCTCTTCCGGTCTTACCATATAAAGCAGACTGCATGTGGTAAGGCTTCCTCAGTGGACTTAGGCCCACAGAGTCCTCATTTTTTTAATCCTAAAGAGGTCAAGGCTTCCAGTAGACAATGAGTTGCTCAGCTCAGCCACTTGAGTATTTTTTTTTGCGGGCCAAAGTCTAGGTTCCAAAAAATCTCAAGCACTTTGGTAGTTAGGCAAGGTCTTTGTTGATGGTTCTACCCAACTTAAGGGTCTTCATTCTTTTGTCTTATATCTCCATAACAGTGGAGGTTAGACTAGCCATGGGAAGACAAAACTGGTGGGCTGGTGAATTTATTGTTCTGACCACAGACCGAACTGCAAGCAAATATGGTGCCTAGGGAGGCACACACATTTACAACAATTAATAAAATGGCACTGCATTAAATACCACAAAGATATTAAGTAGACTGAGCAGGTAAACTGTAATGAGATATTGTCTGTGACCACACCATACTTCTTAATGTCCAATGAAGGTATGTATATTTTCCAGATCTGTCTTCTGAATGTGTTGTGCAGTTTCCCTTAGTAAAAGAACTGTAAGGTCAGAGACAGTGATAGTACTGTGAAAAGTGTTTTCCTACAGCTGATTGGGTGTTTCTATCCTTTATCATAATCCATGGATCCTACAAATACCTGTCACAGAACATGACATATCTCATCTCATGTAATACATGTATATCTCATATCTCTTGTATCAAATGCCCTCATAGAAACAATGCAGATGAACTTAAACAACCATTACCCTACAGAGTGAGTTCTCATAACCAAAAGTGAAGCAAATAGCAAACAGTGCATAGCACTCAAGTCTGGAAATCTAGATATTCTCTATCCTGAAATTGTCAAATAATGTGATATCTTGTGTCTGGGAAATGTACTCACATTTTTTTTTCAATAATGGGTTGGCACTATGTAACTGAAGAATACCAAAAATAATTAATGTAGGAAGAAAAGAGAAAAAATGATCTGGCAGCTATAGGCTCATTATTATGGTTTTCTACAGCACATAAGAGTTTAGAACTAATTTGAAGGAAAGGATAACTAAAGTAATGGAATACATGGAAATAGGAAGATAGGCAAGTTGGATTTACCAAAGGCAGATAAGACCAGACCAACTTGATACCTTTCTATAACAAAATAATTTACTGTCTCTAGAGAAAGGCAGATCACAGAGGAAACAGTAAGCTCCAGTGAAGAAGAAGCTTAGCACACAAATGTTTTAAGTTTTTAAGGGAAGGTGGCAATGGGTAGTTTTAAGCAGGAAAATGCCATGATCAAGGGCATCCAGGAAGAGCACACACCAACTGCTGAAACTTCCGTAGCCTGATGAAGGGTTTTTGAACCCGAAAGCTTGCTTAATAACTATTCTCCAACTATTTGGGTTGGTCTAATAAAAGATATTAAATTCACCCAAGGATCCTTGTCTGCCTATGGTCTAGGGAAGTCACTTCTGCAGTTTCCCCAGACTCTTGTCTAACATATTTCCACTTACAATCTTGGAACACAAAGTGGGAGTACACTGATGAGATTTGCTGGTGACACATCCACCCAGGAGGATTTGATTATCACAAGGAAAGGATGTTGGAAGACTTTGAGAACTAAAGTACAGCAGGATTAAATTTACTAGCCCAGAATGCAGGATGCACTTGGGAACTAATGGCAAGAATTTCTACTACAAGATGCGAACTCAAGGGTTTGAACTGAGATGAGGTGATTAGGGTATCCTAGGTGATCCCAGTGTGACTCTGAGCCACCAATCCAATGTAGAAATGAGAAAGGCAAGTGAAATCATTGGATGTATCCAACTATGAATTTCTATGAATGTTGATGTATCCAACTATGATAGACACTATGAATTTCTAGAAGAGATAGGCAAATACAAATGGTATATTTAAAGGGAATATAGTGTCCAGTTCTGGTCACCGGTGTTCAAGAAAGATGAGCTCTGGTGTTGGGGCAGAGAAAGAATAGCAGAAACATAATGAGAACAAAGAGGCTTTTAAACCAAAATATATTATTTTAACTTCCTTTTGTTTTGTTTAATTTTTTCTTTTCTTTTCCTTAGGTCAGTAAAACAGTTAGTCAAAATGCTATTGTTTATCCTGTGAAATACACTGAATGAAAGATGTTGATTTTCCTCTTCAAATTTGGAAGCAGAAACAATAACCTGGTATTCTGAAATGAAATAAATACTTTTATTTTAGGTCTAACTCAAATGTTGCTCCATTTCCGTTTTTTAGAAACAGAAATATCCAGGTCTCCATTCATAGCTTTTTGACTACTTGTTTTCACACTTTTCTCAAAGTCATTTATTCTTTTCCCTTCTTTCCACTGAAAACTTTCAGGAAAACTAAAAAAACAAACAAAACCAAAACAAAACAAAAACCAAAGGAAAAAGGGAAAATATTTTTGTACTTTTTCAAAAGCAAAGGGTGGTAAGCCAAAGTGTCTTCAGAAGAAAAGGGTGTTAAGCCAAAGCCAGAGTGTCTTTATGAGCTCTTCCTAACATTAGAAGTTTAATGATATAGAAAGTAGGGCTGTGAGGAATGGCACCATTCCATTTCGACTTGAGTTTCGAAGTTTTGGTGGAACAGAGTATCATTTTGAATTTTTTTTCAATTTGAAACCACTGCGCCATTTCCTTTCGACAAAACAGTGAAGCTGTTTTGAACTTTCACCCATACATTATAATGGGGAAGCTCGAAACAGCCTCTCTAATCTGGCAGGAAGATGGGGGCCTGCAACCCCAGGAGGGCTGAGGGAGCAGTGCCTGTCCTCCTGGGGATGCAGGCCCCCATCTGACTGCCAGATGAGGGAGGGAAGCCAGGTGTTGCCACCTGGGACCGGGGAGCTGGGAAGGGAACTGAGCCCAATTGCTCAGTTCCCCTTCCCAGAGCTATGATCAATCAGGCTGGGGAAGGGAACTCAGCTGAGCTGAGCTGAGTTCCCATCCCCAGAGCTAGGACTGGGCTGGGGAAATGAGCTCAGCCCATCCTAGTGCTGGAGATGGGAACTCAGCTCAGCTGGGCTGAGTTGCCTTCCCCAGCCTGATCGCAGTGCCGGGGAGGGGAACAGAGCCCAGGCTGGCTGAGTTCCCTTTCCCTGTGCTGTGATAGGCTTCTCGCAGCCCAGCCATGGGAAGTGGGGAGACCTAGGGCTGCACTCCTGGCTGAGCTACATGGGGCTGCAGAGCCACTGGGAGCACAGCCCTGCTTCTCCCCTGTCTCCCACCACCTGTCTGCTGGCTGCTTCAAAACTCAAAATGTTTTGAAACTTTCAAAACATTTTGACTAGCCTCATTTCGTTTTGAGGCTGTTTTGAAGCCCTCCGCTTGGATTTGATTTAGCTGTTTCAAGCTGAAAATGAGTGGAAACAGCGTCGAATCAAAATAGGAAGTGAAATTTCACACAGTCCTAATAGAGAGCAATAGAGATATTTAGGATCATTTGTGACATTTGGGAAAGCAGCGCAGGCAGAGCTCTACCACTGCTCCACTGTGCTCACTACAAAGTAGCTGAGGTTTTTACTGAACAATCCGGGGCTATTTCAGGTGACAGCTATTGTTTTGTGAAAATGTTACTCCTGTTAATTTAACTTTTAGCAAAAACCTTAGCACATATCCTGAGAGGCAGGTGTCACTATCTCTGCAGTGCTCCTGAACTTACCTGAGCAAATCACATTGGCATCATGGTCATGTGAGCATTGAGAGGCCCCCAAGGCAGTAACAGGGCAAAGCCCCAAATGGGGTTCTGTACCATTACAGTGAAATTTGTATCCCCAGACAGAGTTGTTTCCTTTCCCAAAATGCCCTCCTCCTGGAGCTGACACAGCGACTCCACAGTCAAGCTGATGACAGAGAACATGGGCATCGGATAAATCCCAGCGCGAGTCGCAGAGGGTGCCCCAGGCACCGAGCACCTGGAGCTCCACTCTCCCTGAGCACTGTGTGCTGCCGTTCACCAGCCTGAACCCTGTGAACCCTGCAGGAAATGGAGAGGGTATTTAGAGAGGAGGCTCATGTGTAACTTTTCACCAAATATTTAAACAATGGGAAGTCATGTGGAATTTGATCCCATTTTCCTTGTCTTGGATTGTTTGAGTTTTACTAGAAGCTCACCCCAACTTTACTGTCCTTTCCCTCTACTCAGTTAGAACATGTTCTTGCTGCACCCCAATCAATAATGCAGAACAGCGTTATTTTAAGCACATTGTACTGGACTTACATGAGCATATGGTGCTGGCATCCTTGGCATGTGAGCACGTCTGATTCACTTGCAATGTCCTGGGGCAGGAAATTAGGCTAGTCTCCTTCCCCTCACACTGCAACTGTTCCGTCCAGATCAGCCCATGTCCTTCTCCAAAGTGAGCTCCTCCTGGCACAGATAAAGCTGCTCCACAGTTTAACTCCTTACAGAGAACATCGGCAGCTTTGAGATCAAAGAGGGAATCACACACTGTTTTCCAAGTGTTTCCATGCATTATCTCCACACGTCCTGAGCAAACTCTGTCCCCTCCAACCAGCCGGGGCTGAATGTGTCCTAGAAAGTCAACAAAAGGGGCAATAAGGAATGATGGGCCTTTGAAAATTCATGGCCCAAATCACTGGTAAGTGGTAGCTGCACTAACAATCCATACCCTCTGGCACGCCCACAGGGATTATGTGCAAGCCCATTTCTGTTTGTGAAGATTTTTTTTGTTTCTTTTCCTTTCCCCTTCTCCAGTGCTCCTGTTGAAGCTGAGCTACTAATCTAGTTATGGGGAAAAAAGGATGTAGGGATCCTGTCACACAGAACACTTAGAATGTGTTAACTGTACTTAAAATGCAAACATCCCCACATTCAAGCAGTAAGAGTGCAAAGTACAATCATAGTGCAGCCAAGTTAGGATTGTTTGTGTAAAGAGTATCTCCAGAACACATTAAGTAACACATGTTCACCAATCATTGGACTGTTCCACAGAGATATATGAACAGTTTGCCATCCTCACCCATCCATGACATCTGTCAGGGACCCCTCTGCTGTATCAAGCCCCCATTGTCAGTCCCAGCCCTGTCACTGGACTGGGATTGCCAATCCATGACCTGTGCATAAGAGATCATGCTAGAACACAGTAAATATTACTGTGCGACTTCTCAGAACACATTCTACCTTTTAATAGAGCACAATATTTTAATGCTCACTACAATCTAAATAAAATACATGCTAGGTCTCCCATGCAGCAAGGCTTTAGGGCAATGCATTGGGACATTTTTGCTCCCCTGGAAGCAAGAGATTAGGTGAGAAAGCCTGGAAGGCTCTCCATCCCTTTCAGGCCAGTAGCCACTTCCCAGGGCCACATACCTTTAGCATGCTCTCTTGTCCTTGAACCACATATAACCTACAAACCTCCCTCTTATTGCTGCTTATGGTGGCAGCTTTAAAAGGAGCAATAGAGGAGAGAGTGGAAATGGGTGCACTGTGGTGTGGGGGTTCTAGAGAACTATGCTGGGAAGTCCAATAGATCCAGGTTCAATGTCTGTCTGTGTGAGGGGTTCTAGAACCCATGTGGGTGCCTAAACTCATCAGATATTTGTGGGGGCAAATGCTTTATCATGTTTTTTGGTTGCCAGTCTGGGTGAATATGTAGTGTTCCATATGTGTCCAAGGATAAATTTCCCAAGGTAACATTACTGTCAAAATGTCCTGTACATAACCAAAAAATAGCCACTTAAGTGACCAAGACAGAAAAGAATGCCAACCCATGTGGGATTTCCCTGCCTCAGTTCACAGGGGGTTGTAGAAGGAGGGCATAAAAGAGGTTAAACAACCTTATTTTTGCCCCTGCACCTACCACCTTCCATTTGCACCCCTCCCTCATCCCCACCAAATTCAAACTTAGGGCTCCTCTCCTGCTGCTCTGGAGAGCTTGGCAACAAGCTCCTCTGAAAGTCCCAGCAGTCACATGCATGGGTTATACCTGCTGGTGTTGCCAGAGGAGGGGGCAGGAGGGACAAATGACCCCAGATACCTTTTAATTTGGGGCTGGGAGCAGGGTACTCCCCATGACGCACATCTCTATGGAAGAACAGCCTACTATCAGGCTTGCTCTGTCCTTGAAGAAATGCATTCATAAACAAGGTTCAGCTCCTACAGCGGGGCACATGTAGGGAGGAATGCATCAATGCTCTTGGATGTTGCCCCTGTGTGAACCTTGTGCTGCTGTACACAGAGCAGCACAGACCTACATCCCCAGTTCACACCTTTGGAAACAGCCTTGGCTGGACACTCACTGGTCCTAAAGGTTGGAGCAGCCTCAGTGTGCCCTTGTTTCCCTTGGGGACTGCAATTAACGTCTGGGAAACTCCATGTGGGACCCAATGCCAAGACCAGACCCAGAAAGTGTCATGTTCAGTAAGTTATGCTCATGAGGATTAACCTACAAAAGGCAGGTTGGCTGAGTTCTTACCTGTGCATATCTTTCCAACATCATCCCAGCCACAGTTGCCTTTGCCCCATTCTTCATGTTTGCAGTCCCAGATAGCTGATTCATTGCCCTGACACACAACATCAGTTAACCAAATTCCTTGAGCTCCTGCCCCAAAATGATCAAAGCTAGGAACATGGGCAGCAGATCCACATCCCAGCTGCCTACAAACAACCTCAGCACCTGTCATGTTCCAGTTCTTATCACACACTGTTCCCCACACATCCTTGTGCTTAACCTCCACTCTCCCAGCACAAGGGCTGCCTCCATTCGCCAGCCTCAGCTCATCAGCACCTGAAAACAGAGAGACAGAGCAGGGTTACAGAGAATGCTGATCTCCAGTCCTGTTGGTCAATCTCCCCTCAGACCTGGGCACTGTTGCACAGGCCCTGAGGTCTGATTCCTGCTCTGCACTCATATCTGGCACTGGAGAGGCAAGGACAAGAGGGTCTCTTTCCTTCACAGCTGCCTTGGTGCGTGGATGATGTAGGGTGCTTACCCTTCTGTCTTAAACAGGTGAGTCAGCCCTGTTCTCAGTTTCTCAGGCCAGCTTTTATGCTTTGTCCATAGAGCCACAAATTCAGAAGACAACCAAGCAAGTCCTGGAACCCCAGCAATAGTATAAACCAGGTATAGGGGGTGGTGTGAAGAGCAGCATTTATGAAGCACTTTGATTACTGACCAGATTTGGGGATGAACATTTTAGCTAAATCCTAAATCATGGGGGAAAAAAAAAAAGGTAATTTCCAAGCCTTATATCTGTTTCCATATTTCCAGCTCCTCCCTAAGAAATGCCCTGATTGTCCAGTATCTTCACACAGCATAAATAATGTGCCTCCCTTTTCCCTAATTGGCCAAGTATAACCATAAAGATTGGAAAAGCCTGACACTGAGGGTGAGCTTACAGTTAGATCATGGTAAGACTACTTAAACCAGGGGTGTCCAACCTTTTTGAATGTGGGGCCAGATCATGAACGTTTTTTCACACAGTGGGCCAGCAGGAGCGGCTGTTCACGCAACCTGTCCAGTCTGGCCATGGCCTGGGGGCGCAGGGGTCAAGGGGTGCTGCCTGACCCCACCGTGTCCTCCCTGCCACCTGGGCGGCCTTGAGGATGCTCCCACACCTGTGCACCTAGGCTCAGCAGCCAGGAGGACATGTGGGGACTCTACGGCTGGTGCAGGATGTGCAGGGACACCCCCCTGCTTGTTCTTCCCCGGGGCAGCCTGAGCCCGAGCCCAAGTGGCAGGGGTCCCTCCCTCCCCACGGCCCACGACTCACTACCCCCAGCACGATGTCTGCGGGCATAGGGGGATGCGGGGAGGTGGGAGCGTTTCTTAGGGAGGAGCTTCCTGTCCTGACAGTCACAGCAGCAGCGGCAGCAGCATCTCCCGTAGGCCCAGCCACAGTATCCCTCCAAGCCAGCATCGGTGCCTCCTGCACCTGTCCGCCCGCTGCACCGCGACCTGCTCCAGCCCATGCGGCCAGCGGGGACCGGCACAGGGTGGGGCCGGCAAGCAAATGAGGAAGGGAGGGGCAGGGCTAGGAATGGAAACCCTGAAATGTGGGAGAGGGGAGGAGCTGGCATGCAAATGAGGAAGGGAGGGGTGAGGCGAGGAAGGGACAATGTGAAATGAGGGGAGAGGGGAGGAGCCACACCGCATCGGAAACGTCAAGCAGACGCAGTGCATGTGGGAACCTTGTCCCTTCCCCAGTCCTTCAGCAGCCATTAGGAAGCTGCTGAGGGGCTAGGGGAGGGACAAGGGGTGGGGACAAAAGTAAACAGTGTTTACTTTCATTTCCCAACGCAGCACCGCAGGCCTCAGAAAATGGCTTGGTGGGCTGCATGGTGGCCCGTGGGCCGTATGTTGGACACGCCTGACTTAAACCTTGAACAATCACACAATAAGGCTCATTATCAAGTATCAACTGCCTTGAAGCATCTTAAAGTTATGCCACTTCAGGTGAGGTTTATATTTGAGCTGTGTTAGCTAGCTTGAGTTAAATTAATTCCTGGGTGTTCACCTGAGATAAAACCACCAATTTACACAGTATCACAGAAAGAACTGTCCCAGGTGGACTAACTATCATCCATTACATTATGGTCCTGGTCTGACAGCAGGGAACAGTCAGGCAACAGTTGGATGTGAATGGAGTGACAGAAAAGGGGTAAAGGGGTACAGGGGATCAAGGAAGGGGAGCATGGGGGAGAGGACAAAAGGGACAGGATTGAAAGGTGGGGAGAGATGGGGGAGGGAAGAGCTGGTGGGTGGAGAGCTGCTGGGCTTGTGCTTCTTCCCCCACCCCCAAATCATCCTAGATTGCCTCCTCCACCCCCAGATTGCTCCTCTCCCACCCCAGTCAATCTCTTTGCCCCCTGTCCCTTGGCCCCCAGATCTCTGTCCTGTCATCCCAATCAGTTCAAGGGTAGCAGAGCTAGGACTGGCTGTTGTCAGGACACTGATAGCATCTCACCCCAAATCTTCTTGCAGTTTCACCCAGTAGCCTCATATACACTTAAAAAAGAGGCAACAAGATGAAGCCCTTAGGGAACCCACAGGAAAACTCCCAAGGGAATGATGAGAACTGATCCATCACCACCCTCTGGGACCTCCTTGCCTAGAAAGAGTAGAACAAATTTAGAGTTGTCCCATGAATATCCACCAGGACATGTAAATGCTGTATCAGCACCCCGTGGTCAACTGTATCAAAAACTGCTGAAAGAAACAGTAATATCAAAAAGGCACAATTTCACCTATTGAACTCCAGGGGAAGATCATCAACCAAGACCGTGTGGCCCATTAGCAATGAGTAGTTGTACTTCTTTCTTGTACTTCCCAGCATGAAAAATTGCTGCTATAACATCCCTCTTGCCCTGGGCTAGTCTGTCCCCCCTCCCCCCCCATGTGTCTATCACTCTGGTTGCTAGGTAACCAACTCTGCCTAGTGTCTATGGGCAGGTGACCTGGGCTGGAGACATTCCTGAGGGAGGGGGAACCTGCTCCTGAGGACATGAAATGCTACAAGTAGCTAGGAGGTGAACTCCACCTCTCTATTGTGTTGGCCTTGACCTCATGGCAGTGGTTCAAGAGATGTTACTCTAGGGGCTGACCGATGATGCTTTTAAAATTAGTTGGCTGGTATCCAATTACATCTAGCCAGGATTGGATCAGGTAGATGATGTCAAAAGGGCTATATAAGTCAAGAGTGCCCAGGAGGAGGGGCAGCAGCCATGATGAAGACACACACAGCAGGTGAAACATCTGCAGCTGTGTCTCTCTCAAGATGTTAAAGTGAGTAAAATGCTGAAACCTATCTAGATATATAGCTTGCTGTAAAGTACATGGGGGATCAAAGGTTACTAGCCACACTGTTTGCTCTAAGGTTATTCTGTGATTTCTCCCTATCCTGAATCCTCCCCCAAGCCTTCTCTCTCTAACCAATAAAGTTCTCCACTGTACCTAGTGTGGTGAATTCATTGGGAGAGGGATAAGAGGCATGCATTCATGCCCTCTTGGTCTGTCTGACTAAGGGAGGCTACTATTTGTGCTCCAAGCCAAGGGAAGCACCCCAAGTCCTTGCAGTGGGTCGAGCACCCTCAAGGTCTACAAGGCCTGTGTATCCCAGGGGGCACAGGGCCATGGACAGACCAAGACTTCTGAATGTGGGCTTGTGGGTGTGCTCTGGGAAGGGGGTCAGCCAGATATGAGGCACACCCAGGGAGGCACTCCAAGCCTGGTAGGTGGTCAGGTGCAGTGAGGTGAGTGGCGCAGCACAGGAGCGCCTCCTACTGGCCCGCCATACATGGTGTCAGTCGTGGGATTCCACAGCCTGCTGTCTAGATGACATAATTTGGGGAAAGGAATAGAGTCACTGAAAACCCTTGAGCAAAGAAATCCTCAACTTGGCATTGGGTCATCCGGACAGAGTTGCTAGCTAGGATGACTGACACATATGACCACATTACTATGGCCAAACTGGTGGAGAAACTGAAAGAGGAAGGCCTCCAAAGAAGGAAAGGGCAACCCCCCCCCCAAAAAACAAGACCTAATTAAAGTCCTGCTGGAGAATGACCGGGCCAAGGGACTTCCGGCCCTGGTTCCGAGTGGGGCTGAAGTCCCTTCCAATGGGCCACCAGCAGAAAACCTTGAGGAGTGACCATTTCCCCTGCCCAACATCTGGAACTCCAGAAGTACAGAATGGAGCTAGCAGAAAGGGAGGCCTAGCACCAGTATGAGTTGCCCAAGATGAAGCATGAGGCTACAGAGGCATAACTCAAGCATGAGTGGGAACTCCAGCTACTCCAGATGCATCAGGGCACCGGAGCTCTGGCCAACCCACCCCAGATGAGTCCAGCTGCACCCACCAGCGTGACCTCCAAGAACTTTGCCTAGTACAGAGAGGTAGATGACACAGAGATGTTCCTGGGTAACTTTGAAAACCAGGCACACTGAGGGAACCTGGGGAAAGAGGAGTTCATGAGGTTTATGCTTGGGCTGGTGATGGGCAAAATGGCAGGTATCCTTCACAGTCTGCTTTTGGGGATGGCAAATTAATTTGATGCCATTAAAGTGGTGGTGCAGAAGGGGTATAGATAGGGCCCAGACCATTTCTAGGATCAGTTTCACACAGCTGCCCCAGAGCTGGGACAATCTATGGCTGAATTTGTGGCCCAGTTGTGGGAGTCACTCCTTAAATGGGTGGAGGGAGCCAAAGCAGACACCAGAGATAAGGTGCTGGACCCCATAGTGCCAGATCAATTCTATTCCAGGTGCCCTTGGGAGATTTGACTCCTGGTCAAAGGTAAGGAGACCACATCAGCCAATGAGGCTGCAGACATCACTGACCAGTTGTTGATAAACCAGAAGGGGCTGGACAGAAGGCCTCCTTGCTTGAGGGAGGAACAGAAAGGGTTCCAAAAAGTGCGGAAGGAAGGGTCAGTCCCAAAATGGGAGAGTAAGCCTCCCCCTGGAAAGTGCAAGGTGACCCCAGATTCGGGCAAGCCTCCCAATTCAGAAATAAAGGTTTGCTTTAACTGCAGGGAGACTGGCCACATCAGGGCCAACTTCCCAAAGCAAAGCAACACCCATAAGTTTATCAACTACACAACAGTTGTAACCAGTGAGGGAAGAAGCCCAAGCCACTCTGAGGAGCATACTTATTGCTATAGGATTACAAACCCAGAGAAGGTGACAACTACCCACCAGACTGAAGAAATAGTAAGGGGGAGAACTCTCACCGGGAAACTGGACATAGGGACCAAAGTGTCATTAATTGATGCCAGCCTTGTTTTGCCCTCGGATATAGTCCCAGGGAAAACCCTTATCATAGAAGGGGTGGGGTGCCAGACCTTCAAAGTATCTGTAGCCTGCTTCCCCCTCGAGTGGAAAGGCTGTGGATGCTGATGGACATAGGAGTGTTGAAAGAGACTCCTGTCCCCATACTCATGGGAAGGGACATGATGGAGCTTGCGTATCGAAAGGAGCGTGGGAAAGCTTTGTAGAACCCTACCTCATTAATGTGGTAACTCACAACCAAGTGGGAAGGTGAGGGCAGGAGGTCAGGAAACCTCCCAGGGCCAGGTAACCTTGAGGGCTGCAGAATAAGATGGGGGAAAGGAAAAGACCCTTGCTCCCCTCCAGCTGTGACCATCTGTCAGCCTCTTAGAAAACTGGCAACCTCAGGTTTGGGTTAAGTAACAAC